TGAAGACGAATTGCCCGAAGATGAACTACCCCTTCAAGACAACTTGACCTTTGAAGACGGGCGCCGTGGACTATGGCCCACCCTTTCAAGGCTCCAATTTGGGTGTGGCTCAAAATTAAACAGGAGGGGGTACGCAGGTCTTGGTTCATGTTTCCACTTACCAGGGCAAGCCATGTTGGTACCGGTTTCTTGAGCCACAGCCATTTGAGAAACCAGGGGTCCCCACTTTTTACCATGTCAGTGGAAAACAAAAGGTGTTTCAGTGAGACCGCCCAAAACAAATGGACACGTTGCTTCAAAGAATGAGTTGTCTTCAGTCGCCGCGGGGGCTCAGGCTTGAGAAGACTCTTCCGTGAGCACAACGGGATAATCCTCGGCGCTCTGGACAAGAAGCAGGGGTTCCTATGCAGGTACTTTCACTATGGCACCCATGCAAAGCACCCCATTCGAGTGATTTATGAGCTTGCTTTCTCGGTAACATGAATCCAACCCGTGAAGAAATTGCCGGAACGCCAAATCATAGATGCATCAAAGGAAACAATTCAACAAAAACAACGCGCATAGAACAGAAATCCTCAAGTTCTGTGTGCCCATGTTTCCTTCAGGCCTAACAGCTTGGCAACTTCCCACCGCTAAGGGAATGCCCCAACTACGTGCCAACTCAACCTGACATCATATTCTGCACAAGTCCCTTGTTCAGCGCATCACTGGCAAACGAACTCGCTTTGACCACTTCACCTCAATCTGTTAAAGGGCTGCCTCCAGCGCGCGATGTTCGCGAGGAGGTCAATGCGCTGTCTTGTCTGTGGACGGCTGCCTGCGGCTGAGGAAAGGATGGCAGGCACCCTGCAATCAGACTTCGGACTTCAGAGGCGTTTGTCATGGGGGCTGGGGGGGAGGGAGGGGAGGGGCTTAATAAAGGCTTATTTGGGCTCCCTCCCCCTCCCCTCCCCTCCTCCCCAGCCCCCATCAGTTTGCATAAACTCGCCATGTCTGCACAAAGGCCACCTGCCTAAGCACAGGCAGGACCCAGACCTTACCCTCTGAAGCAACCCATGAAATCAGTGCAACATGCTGAAGACCAAACGGAATTTGCGTGAAGATTGCGGATCGGGTGCTGTGGTTCCTGTGGTGGATGAACTTCGGACCAACCCACCTACAGGGAAAAGAAAGGACAAGACATGCACAAGATTGGGCACGAGCAACCTCCAACGGATGTTTGCCAAGCATGCTAGCATGAATCAAATGCGGGCAACAAGCGCTGCAACGATTGGACCAGGAGTTTGGGGAGGCCTGCTTGTGGAGGCTCACGGACACACAGCGATTTGATGGATAGCCGTGTGCACTTCCATGAGCTCAACGCGTCCACTCAAAAATGCCAAAACAGCCCGCTGTTCTGTGGAAGCTGAGAAAGGGTGCCTTCGTACGTTGGCCCACACACAAGTGGGGGAAGACTGCGACCTGCTTGTCGAGGTGTGCGAATGAACGTCGAAACAAGAACGCTTCGCACACTGCTGACCACTTTCTCGGGTTGCCGCCTTTTTGCCTCAGGAGCCGCGCCAAAACATCAGCGGAGCTGGGGAGTTCCATGCGAAATCTGACGCATGTTCCGGCGAATCCGTTGGTTTCTTCGTTACTCGGGGATTCAGTTGTGCCCCTTTGCCTGGCATCTGAGAAGGCGGCCTGAGACATCGGAGCCCTTCCATCTCAACAGCTCTGGGCAAGCCTCAAGTTCTGGCAATCCGGCGTCCGGCCTGTTTCGCGAGGTGCTCTGGATGTGCTTGTAGAGGGAATTGTTGAAGACATCCTACGTACACTTGGTTTTGCGCGATGGCCCACGAGTTCACCCTGACAAGGCGGAATGTGCTATTGTCCTAGGTTCGGCGGGCACCGAAATGACTCTTGTTGCAGTATGTTGTAAAAAGGCACCGGAGTCACAATCAAAACCTGGTACAAAAATGGTGCGCCCAGTGTAAAGAATTAGAAAGGCGGCCGCAACTATTTCCGGCTGGGACTGCCGTGCCCCTTACTAACCTTCATCCACCCGGGTTTTGATTGTGGCTGACCTGTTGCACACCAGCACCGTGAACATCCCCGGCCTCGCCTTTTTACACCGCCAGCATCGTTTTCACACCCCCAGCAGCACCGGAAGCTGTGGTTTAGGCTAAGTGTATGGAAGCCCCACTAAAGCCAGAATCGGACACCCCCCCCAATGAATCAACCAGGGGTTGATTCCTCCGCAGTGAACCTTATCCAGCCGGCCAAGGAAGAAAAAACCAGAGGACGATTGGCCCGAAAGCATTTTTCCCCGGGTGCTCATCCAGCCGCGGAGACACCTTTTTTACATCGCTGCGGCGAGCGTGTCTGCACGCGGCGATGCTCAATGTGTATGGTCACATGAGAGCTCCATCTCATCATCCTAGTTTCCTCTCGAACTGCGCCGCGCGATTTCTCACGAAAGTGGTCTGCGCAAGCTGCATTGTTCCAGGCTGCTGCGCGC